TGTTTGATAAACACATCAGTAACTGCCAGAAGCAAGAATTATGAATAGAAGCTAACAGTTTGAGATAGAAAACAGGACAGAGAACAGGATATTTGCATTGTCTCCAAGTATTTCCCACAAGATATCCATTCATTACAAAGGGAAACTGATTTTACCAAGAAATCTGGCAGACACTTACCAGGAGATCAAAGCCAGCCAATTTAGGAGACCTCATGCTGAGATCCATAGATAGGGCGTGAGCTGTTCTAGCTGGACAGACAAGCCCTGAACTTAACCTTGAGACAATGCCCTGCAAACCCAGACTGAGGGGAATTCTCCCAAAGCTTCAGTGACATGAGTGACACCCACATCTAAATCTAAATAAGAGGTACAACCCTCAGGCTGATGGTGAGGCTCACAACGCAGCACGTGCCTAGCAAAGAAAAGAAAAAGAGGGGCAATCCTTGATTGTATCCTGAGCTCCAGAGAGAGGGGAAATGGACCAAATCAGAAGGGGGCCTTGTATTCCATCTGTGTTGCCATCCTGACTTTAATACTGGCACAAAGGATATGGAGCTTAGCACTGTGGCAAAGTGGTAAAGGTGTAAAGGAATTCTTTGTACCCTTTTGAAGGGTGATCCAAATCAAAAACAAACTCATACCTTTCATGGTCTGGAGCCAAGAGCACCTTCCCCAGTGCCCTTTTCTAAGATGCAGTGTGTTTATGTATTTACTTTTTTTTTTCTTTCTTTCTTTTTTTTTTGAGACAGTCTTTTATGTACTGTATCTCAGGTTGGTCTTCAACTCACTCACTTTGTAGCCCAGGCTAGCCTCGAACTTGAAGTGATCCTTCTGCCTCAGCCTCTCAAGTGCTGGGATTACAGGTGTGCATCACCACACCCCGGTATAAGGTTCAGTTTTAAAAGTAGAACTTTTAGAGATAGGAAGTGGATTTCGCAAGGTTCAGTATGCTGTTTACTGTGTTGTTTAATCCTAAAGTAGCAGACAGTGTTTTTCTTTATAATTTGAAATTTCTTTGATTTTACTACAGTCTCATTTCAGGAAAACTTTAAAACCCAACATATGTAGATAAGGAAAGAAAATCAGACAAAAAAACTCTTCAATCTCAGTATTTTTTTAATCATCTCAGTATTAATTAATGCTACATATATATTCATTTTACTTTATTCTATGTATTTAAAACCAGAAACCAAACATGCTATAGATATCATTTTGTAACCTGATTCTATCCAACTTAAAATAATGCTTTTTTTCTTTTTCGAAGTGGGGGTGCAATACTGGGAATTAAAGCTGGGGCCTCTGCATTGAGCTATACCCACAGCTCTTTTCCATTTTTGAGACAGGGTCTCATTGAGGACTGAACTTGCAATCTTGCCTCAGCCTCCTATAGTGCTGGGATTACAGGTGTGTACCAAGAGACCTGACAAAACAACATCCGGAAATCCTTCTTCCTCTGTGTAGATCTGTACAATTTATTTAGCTTAGTGCTGAGGAACAAACCCAGGACTTACACTTGCATAGCAATCACTTTACCACTGAGCTACATCCCCAGCCCTGAAAACTGTTCAGTGATACTTTGTGTTTTATTTTGTGTTCTAGAGCCAGGAATCCGACCCAGAGCTTCTTGAATGCTAGGCAAGAGCTCTGCCACTTAAGATAGGGCCCCAGGCCCCTAGAGATTGATCCTGTGGACTTTTGATCCCAACTGCTGTCCAAAAAGATAGGACTAACTGCTGTTCCCATGGAGGGTTAAGATATCCCATTTTAACTCTTTTCTAATGGTTATCGATCTTTTTTTTTTCTTTACAAACTGAGAAGGAAAAAAGTATTCTATTACATGCTTTTGAAATTATTATAGAGGCCAGGCATTTAAAAATTACTTCTTGTAGCACATACTTGTAAATCCTGATACTCTGGGAGGCCGAAGCAGAAGAATTCCAAATTCTCAAAATAAAAATCAGGCTGGAGATGTAGCTCAGATGATGGCCTGGAGTTCAACTCCCAGGACTGTGCCCTACTAACCCCGAAAACAGGGTTTCTTGGATGTATATATTTTTTGCTTTGTGAAATTTCCCACTTAAGATTCTTGTCTTTCTTTCTTCTGTTTTTTTGTTTTTGTTTTGTTTTGGTTTCGTTTGGTTTTTGTTTGAGACAGAATCTCATTTTGTAGCCTGGCTGGCCTGGAATTCGCCTCAATCCTTCTACCTCAGCATCCTATGATGCTGGGATTATAGGCATGCACCAACCACACCCAGCTTGGTTTTGTTTTTATTTTATATTTTCTGACAGTGACTGCCCTTCATTCCTTCTGCTGTCACACACTCGCTGAAGACATCTAGATGTTCTTCCCCGCAAGGTCCGAGGTGCCGACTCCACCCTGCTCATTTAGACAGGGAAAGTCTTCAGACTGAACAGGAACTTCTGTGATATTGTTAAACATTCTGAGGTTCAATTCCTATCTTTTATCTATTCTTCAACCCAAAGATGGAGAGCAAATGGGAAAAAACGTGTCAGGTTCTGCTTCTTTGTATAGCTACCAAAATTTGCCATAAGACTTTCGAATAAAAACCAAACCAAACCAAAATTAGGTTTTACTTTACAATTTCAACTTTATTCTTCCTGATGCTGTTATTATGAACTCAATGCCACATTTACATAGATTATATAGCATCTTTAGAAAAAATTTACATCCAATCCAGATGTTTACTGTAACAACTGTTGTAACACTTAAAAACTCAAAGCCAATTTATGGAGTTTTTCAATAAATGTTATTCTAATTAATATCCTAATACATGTGACTACCTTTCAGGTGAGAATACTATTCACAAATAAATTTAAACTGGGCATGGTTGTATTCTGAGACAGAAGGATCGCTGTGAATTCGAAGCCATTCTGGGCTACAAAAGAAATTCAAGGCCAGCCTAAACTGCATAGGGATGGAAACTCTGTCTCAAAAAAAAAATTTTTTTTAAAGCAGGTATTATAAGACACCACATGGTAACAATTAAAATGAACATAAGCCAGGCATGGTGATGCACACCTGTAATTTCAACACTTGAGAAGCTGAGGCAGGAGAATTGCCAGTTTAAGCCCAGTTTGAGATACATAGAATTCAAGGCCAGCCTGGAATATATAGTGAGGCCTTATCTTTAAAAAAAACCCTGAATAAATAAATTTCAAAAAATGAATGTAGGGGCCAGGGATTTAACTTAGTGGCCTAAGTGCCTGCCTGACAAGTTCAAGGTCATGAGTTCAATCCCTGGTACCAAAACAAAACAAACAAACAAACCCATAGCTATCACTAGAATGAATAAATGAAAATGTCTACAACAAGCTGTCTCAGAGAGATAGAAAGTACAGTAGTGACTGCCAATAGTTAGGATGATGAAGGGACTGTGTGGTGACAGCAAAAGTAAACTGTCATTTTTGGAGGTAACAATTTGAATGCCCTAAGTATCATGATCACGGTACCCAGCTGTGAAAATACTAAAAGTCATTGGACTGTGTGCTTTCTGTGAGTGAATCGTATGCTATAGGAATTATATCCCAATAAAGCTGCTGTTTCTTTGCTTACATAATAAGTATTTCTCAAATTCTGGAGCCTGGGGAAAATAAAGCTTTTTTCTTTTTTTTTAAAGACAGCTGTATCAGAGTTGCTGGCACACACCAGTTAAGTCCAGAACTTGGGAGCCTGAGGCAAAAGGATCCCTCAAGTTCAAAGCTAGCCTGGGTTACATAATGGGTTGAAGACAGTCTAAACTATACCTCGAGACCCTGTCTCAAAAAAATGAAAAAGCAACCATAAGATGTTCATATTGAGGAATTAGGCAATGTGATGTATGTCTACAATCTCAGCACTTTGGAAGGCTGCGGCAAGAGAATTAAAATTTTGAGTCTAACCTGTAAAACTTAGCAAAACCCAGTCTCAAAATTAAAAATTAGAGGAAGGGCTAGGGCAAGAAAGGACAACGCAAAAGTCCTTTGTTCAGTCTCTAGTCCCACAAACCAAAAACAAGGGTATTGATTATCCATCCTAATCTTAAGTAAAAGAAGCAAGACATGAAACAGTATAATCTGTACAATTCCATTCGTGAGCGAAAAAGTGTACAGGAGACAAAATTTACCATGGGGTTGGTGATAAAAATCAGAACACCAGCTACTTAGAGAGGGAATAGCTGATCAGAAAGAGGCTAGAAGAAGCATGCTGGGCTACAGATGGGAGTTTTTGCCATGTGTTCATCAAAACTGGTTTAAAGGGCTGAGGGTTTAGCTCAGTGGCAGAAGCGCCTGGCTGGCAAGTGCAAGGTGGACACGATAAAATGAAAGCTAGCTTAAAAACAGTTACAATTTGAGTATTTCACTGTTAAATGCACTCCAAAAAGTGCCCGCACTTCAGTATGAATGTAGCTAATGCTAACGCACTGTATATTCAAAAGAGTACATTTGAGATCTTCTTGCCACAAGAATAAGTATTTGAGGAAATAGATGGTAATTAGTCTCCTGTCATTAGTCCACACCATACCCAGGAATCCCCTTAGGCATTTATAACAATTTGTCAGTTCACAATACAAATTCATGTAAATGACAACACTGTCCCCATCCTATGTCACTGTGGTCCAGCTCTGCACAAAGCTGGGCAGGGATGTCCAGCAAGAGGACCCACACAGAATGCAAGCTTGGTTTCCTTTGTGCATTTTTGTTTTACTTTCTAGACTAGTTTTGAAAATTTATCATTATTCTTAGTCATGCTGGGGATCGCACTCAGGACCTTTGCACTGAACTATATTCTCAGCACTTTTTAAAATTTTAAATTTTGAGACAAGATCTCACTAAGTCACTAAATTTCTCAGGCTGGGCTCAAACTTGTGATTTTCCTGCCTCTGCCTCCCAGAGAGTTGGGATAACAGGTGTGCACCACCACATTTGGCTAGTGTGTTATTTTTATAATTTAAAATGACTATTTTTAAATGAATTAACCATATTTTCTTTTTAAATCCCAGTGATTAATTTGCATTCGTTTGACTTGTGGATTGCAGAACCCCTTGGTTGTGAGCCCTGTAGGCTGTAAATTCACTGAAAGATGGCAAGGTAATGTTTGTGGCTTTCTTGAGTTTGTCCTCTTGGACACTGGACTGATTTCTTTCCTATCTGGCCCTAAATCTCCTTGCTTCTCTTCAAAGTCACTAGTCCTAGACTGGAAGAGTAGGTTGTCCCTAACTGATAAAACTTTCTGTTTTACTTTGTCTTCCTGAGTTTCTCAAGATAGGGTTTCATTCTTTTTCAAAATTCCTGGTAAGATAAGACTACAGGAAGACAAGAGCAGGAAAAGGCAAGATAAAGGAGGAATGAAGTCTGTCTGACATTCCTTTGAACCCTGTCTGCATGGCACCTTCCCCCAGTAGCTCCTTTTTCCCTTCATACCCAAGTAAGATGACTGCAGTCCGAAGCACAGGAACCTGAGTCTACTTTTTCAACTGAAGTTACCCATTTCACTATATTTCATTTTACTTAAAACCTTTACTTGTCTTCTCTTTAAAACTGAAGACATCTGCCATTTCTATGCTCATAAATAGTGCTGAAACAGAATTCAGTACCAAATAGAATATTTCAGCTAAAATAAAGTCCACAGCCAGATATGGGGGGTACAGGCCTGTAATTCTGGTTACTCAGGAAGCTGAGGCAGAAGACTGCAAGTTTGAAGTCAGCAAGACTTAGTCTCAAAAATTAAAAGGGCTGGAAAAAAAGTAAAAAGGGCTGTTCAGGACAACAGCACTCGCCTAGCATATATGAGGCTCTAGATTCAATCCCCACAGAGAGAGACAGAAAAACAGACAGACAAATAGCACACTGATAGTTTTTCATTTGGTTGTGTTTGTTCAGTGCTAAGAATCAACCCTAAGGCCTTGGGCATGCTGGCCAACCTTTCTCATCAATCAACTTCCCCACCACAAAGAATTTTACATGATCTTAAAGTTAACTCCTTGAGGGATTATGCAATTGCAAAATGCAAAAGATTTACTTTAACAGTATGGCAAACACAACCTGACCGACTGGACAGAGTTAAAATGACAATAATGAGACAAACTGACATTGTGGGCAGGTAGGTGTGATGTGCAGAGGGCATAGCTCACTTCTAAAGAATCCATGTTAACAGTGATTAACTGAACCTCACCATGAGCACATATAAAGGCACATGGAGAGACATTCTACAAAAATAACTGAAGTAGCCATGCATGGTGCCGTACACCTGTAATCGAAGCACTCGGGAGGCCCCTGGGCAGGAGGATCACTCAAAGTTGCAGGTCAGCCCGGGATACAGTAACATCAAGGCCAGACTACAGTGAGTGATCCTGTCTCAAAAAAAGAAAAACAGAGAAAAGGAAAAAAGGATAAACCTAGCAGCTGGGGATTTAGCTCTGTGGCATAAGTACCTGCCTTGCAAGTGTGCAGTTATGAGTTTGATCCTCGGTACCCCCCCCCCCAAAAAAAAAGGATAAACCTGATTTGTGCTCTCTGGTTGAGAATATTAAGAGACAGCTGAATGCAGTACCTGATAAGATTATTGTTTGGTGTATAAGGGATTAGGATAAACACAGAAATAACAGACTACTGATCAGTAGATTCAATAAAAAACAGCATAGCATCCTACTGCTTAACTTTCTTAGTTTGACCTTCATAGTGTAGTGATTTAATTGTGGAACTATGTGATGTCTTCAATTGCCGGGAATATATGCTGTAGTATTTAGAGTAAAAAGGATATTATTTCTGAAATTTATTTTTGAAGAGTTTGGGGATGGATAAAAATACCTATTAATTTATATGGAGAAAGAGAAAGAAAGGACGAAGCAAAATCAGGAATTTGAGAGAAGAGGGTGCACGGGAATACTTTGTAGTATTTCTCTATAGCTTTCTTTGTGTTTGAAATTATGGTGCTGGGGATATAGCTCAATCACACAGTCCTGCTTGGCAAGGGCGAGGTCCTGAATTCATTTTCTGGTACTTCCTCCCCCTTCCCCCCAAAAAAAGAAGAAAATTATGTCAAAAACATTTTTTTTTTTGTCTTTTTCCTTTTTATCGGTACTGGGGATCGAACTCAGGACTGCCTGCTTGCAAGGCAGGCGCTTATGCCACTGAGCTAAATCTCCAGGCCCCAAAAACATTTTTTAAGGCAGGTGTGATGACAAGTATCTGTAATCTAGCCCTAAGGAAGCTGAGGCAGGAGGATCGGCAAAATTCAAGGGCAGCCCGAACTACATAATGAGATATTGTCTCAAAAAAACCACCTTTTTAAAAAAATTGTAAGTCCTGAGAAGGAAGCAGGAGTGCAAGATATAGTTTCATAGTGCAGTTATGTAGTTTTATATCTCTCAGCTAATGAATATGACTAAGTTTTCTGACTGAAACATCAAACTGGGAACACACATTATTTCTAACTTTTTGCTGCCACGACCATGACCAAATTAATCTTCACAATTTTTCCCTAGAAATTATACTAAGCAGAAATAGACTGCCGAGGATTGTTATACCCTTACCATTTATATTGTATCTTCAGAAATGGGTCCAAGCAACGTTGAATCCTGATGGTCCTAATTTGTTTTAATGAAGTGATCAAGTATCAGAGACTTTAAATAAACCCAAGAGTCGGGCATCGTGGAGCCCAGCACTTGATAGGCTGAGTCAGAAGGATCTCTGCAAGTATAAGGCCAGCCTGAGCTACAAAGTGAATTCAAGACCAGCCAGAACTGCATGGTGAAACCCTATCTCAAAAAGATAAATAAGCCTGGACCCAGCTGGATTACATTTCCGACTCAAAGTTCTGGGCTGCAGTTATCTACACTGTCCACCCAGAGAGCATAGAAACCATGTTTCACAGAGTCAGGGACACATTAACCTCTTGAAACCAGTTTTTATTTTATTTTTGTTTTTTTGAGGTAGGATCTCACTATGTAATGCAGGCAAGCCTCGAACTCATAGGAATCTTCCTGCCTCAGCTTTCTGAGTACTGGGATTACAGGGGTGCACCCACCACACCCAGCTTCAGTTTTTATTTTAATCAGCAAATATTTTTCTAAAATTCACCAAAACTCATACTTCAGTAGTGTTTTTGTCACTGTCCCTCCGGGCTGGATAAATACCACTAGTTTATCTTATTCTCTGCTTCCCTCCGATGGCAAGCGTTAGCATGCCTTTCACTACTGCCCACCCCAACCCCAGTGGTGCAGAAGCAGTGTCTCAAGCTCATCTCCAAGTCTCCCCTGCTACCGCTGTCTCACCAACCTGCAGCGCCCTCCCTTGGAATCCAGGCCCTCACAAGTCAATGTTCTCCTGCAGAGTGCACCAGGACCCCAGGACTCCTGGAGGCTGACACAGAACCACCCACTCAGCCAGCCTGGACAAGCCAGAGAGAATCTGCCTCAGAATCCAATCAAAGGAGCAAGAGCAGAAGCTTAGCATTTCCCAGGTTCAGTCCCCAGTGCGGCCACAAAAAAGGACGGACTCCATACCCACTCACTGGTGCGGGAAGTACGAGAAAAAAGAGACCAGTGACACCATGTCTATGGCATAAAGGCACTCAGCTCCCCTCCCAGCACTCTGGGAAGCTGAGGCAGAAGGGTGGAAAGTTTGAGCTCCATCAGGGGAACTTCATGACATTGGGAAAGCCTGACTTAAAAGTAAAAATAAGGAGCTGAGGGTGAAGGTCAGTGTAGGGCCTTGCGGTCAAGTGAATGACCACCCAGTCCAAGATGCAATCTAGAACTGGATGCTGGATCGGGAAGGCCCTCAGGAAGCTTAGGAGTATAGCGTATGGTATTAAAGAGCAGAACTCAGTGTGTCTGGTGTGATATTTATACTGTGGTTCTGTAGAACTTTCCTGTTCTCAGAACAGACATTCAACAGTGGGGAGGGGTCAGTGTGTGAATAAAAACTTACTGATATTCCATGTATTCTTAAAACTTTTCTGTAATTGTAGGTTTTCCTGAGTAAAAAGGTAAAGACAAATTAACTTATCACATTAAATATACTGGATATATATCCTGATTTCCAGAGCAACTCAACACAGAGACTACCACAGGTGATGTGAGTGCTTCTCCCATGTGCCCAAATGTCATTACAATAGCCTCTCTTTTCTCTTAATCCCTTCCTTTTATTGATTGATTGATTGATTGATTGATTGATTGATTGATTTTGGAGACAGGGTCTTGCTATCTAGCCTAAGCTGGCCTGAAATTCACAGTGATCTTCCTGCCTTGGCCTCCCAAGTGCTGGGATTACAGGTGTGTCACTTTGTTTTAATTTCAACTAATACCAGGTTGTTTCTTGTTTGTTTTGTTTTTGAGACAGGGTCTCTCTATGTTTCATAAGTTAGTCTCAAACTGATCTCAAACTGCCTCCAGAGCAGCTGCACCTGGCCAATACACTAAGTTCTAGAGCTCAGCCCTGACTAACCAAATCTAGTATATTCTATCCACTAACTCATCCCCTCATCAGACTGATGGTTGGTTGACTGCACCCGCGGCCATGTTATTCTGACAGATGTGGTGAAAGCTGCTCCTCCACTGAAAAAGCTTATAAAAAAAAGAGAGGCAACTTAAAACCTGAGTGCTTCAATAGTTTATAAAGTTTTTATTTCACCTACTTATCACAAAAAGAACAGTATTAATGAAGATAGCAACATGTACTGGAGATCCACTATTCATGGGATAACTGCTCTATATTTTATTATATTTTATTTATAATAATCTAACAGCTGGGCATGGTGGCACACACCTTTAATTCCAGCACTCAGGAGGCTGAGGCAGGAGAACTGCTACAACCTGGAGGCCAGCCTGTGCTACATAGTGAGATCTTGTCTCAAAAAAAAATCTACCAACAATCCTGTGGGTTATTACTTGTTCCCATTTTTACAGACATAAGATAATGGGGCTCAGTTGTTCAACTAGATTTCCTAATTACATACCTTCCCTGTGTTGCTACTAACACCCAAAAATGCAGAGTTAAAATTTTAAAAATAATGCCTATAATCCCAGCTTTGGAAGGCTGAGGCAGAGGATCATCAAGGTTAGTCTGAATTACATAGAGACCCTGACTCAAAAAAACTGATTATAGTGATGATAATAGTATTTAAAATTAGAAAGTAACTAAAAGTCCTAATATCTGCTGCATAAAAATGTAAATGCTCAGAACATTTCAGATATATTTCCTTATAGTTTTCAGTAGTTATGTTTAGAATAAGTTAAAGCTTATTTCAAGAACTGGAATACAATTATAAGGAGAATAATTAATAATTGAATACTCCTTAAGTATTTTAGAAACATTTCTTCCTTCTAAAATAAGATACAGTGACTGGGATTTATTTCAGCAGCATTGCACCTGCCTGGCAAGTGTAAGGCCTTGAGTTTGATTCCCAGTACCAAAAAAGAAGGTAGTAAAAAACAAAACAAAACAACACCCAAAAAAATCCTTTTAAAAAATAAAATAAAATAAAATAAGAGACAGGTATGGAGCTCAGTGATAAGCACTTGCCTAGCACTCATGAAGCCCTGGGTTCCATCCACAGCAATGTCACAAGAGAAAGGTACAGATTTGTAGAAGCAGAAGTGAAAAGGAAAAGAAAGAAAAGGAAAGAAAAAGTGATTTTCCTTTGAAAAGGAAAGAAAAAGTGATTTTTTTGGGTGAGGATATAGGCTGATATTTCTATAAGAGGCAATTAAGTTAATATATTGCTAGCAAATCCATACTCCTGAATGGTTCATTAATAATTTAGCAACATGCCAGGTGTGGTGGCTCATGCCTATAATCTCAGCACTCAGAGGCTGAGGCGGGAGGATTCATTGCCATTCAAGAACAGCCTGAGCTACCAAGTGAGCTCAAGGCCATCCTGAACTGTATAGTGAGACCCCGTCTCAAAAAAGACATAATAATAATTTAGCAACATGTTCCTTTGGACATGCTAGATCACTATGTACCACGCTATTCTAAACATTGCTTTCATTTGTTGTTTACATTTTTATTAGTACACATCTGCACTACAGAAGTAAGGCCCTCACTCATCAGGAGGAGCTGACACAGGCACGCAACACATCTTAATTGCATTATTTCCCCCATACAGCTCTTAATTCCCTTCCAATTTGCATAACACCAACTTCCGTTTTTCCCTAGCTATCTTTCATTCTTTTTGTTTGTTTGTTTTTTGGTACAACTCATGACCTCCTACTTGCCAGGCAGGTGCTCTATTTTTTATTCTGCTCTAAACATTCACTACCTCATTGGCTTCCCAATTCTTTGATTTCATGTGGGTGTAGGCATGCATCCTATTTCAAATTAAATTCACTCACGTGTGAAGAGATATATCTAAAATAGCCACTTAGTAATTTAAAATAACCATGTTCCTAAAATAAGCTTATCATTGAACGCTTGGCTTCCAAGAATTGAGAAGAGTTTGTATTTCCCCCAAATTCATGCGACATCAATATATTTTAAATGTGGATGACAAAAAGGTTGCATCACTTCTCTTGAAAACCATTGTGGCAGTCAGATGTGGTGGTGCAACAGGGTCACTGTGAGTTCGAGGCCAGCCTGCCACATACTGAGCAAAGTGAGTTCCAGGCCAGCCTAAAACCCATGGCAAATCCTTGCCTCAAACAAACAAACAAGCAAGCAAGCAAGCAAGCAAACCCACCACCATCAAAACAAATATGCACAAGTATAAATACTCAAGACACAAAGCCTATGTTCTGTGCACTAAGAAGGTGACTTCATAATTTTTTTTTTCTTTGTAGCCTGAATGAAATTTTCCTCCAGCCGGTCCAACCCTACTTGGCTTCCTTTCACTCTGATTCGTTTGGGATCGTTCCTAGAAATCCCAGAGCGGATGCAGGCCCTGGTGACAAGCGAGTGAATGAATGAGCGGGCTCTGTGGGCGCAAGCCTGCCTGACACCCGCGATCCAGACTCTGCAAAACACTGTGCCACAGTTTCTGGCTCTGTGGATCAGAAGCCGCATGTGTGCCTTTGATTGTGTGAATAAACACTGCTGGAGAAGCACACGTCGCTAACAGTTTTTGCCAGCATATGACATAATGAGAAATAAAGATGATGTGTTGAGTCACAGAACTAAGTTTTTAAATTTACGTGACTCTCTGGCATTCTGAAATTACCTTCTTTCAATCGTTAATTTGTAACGTGCATTTTGTGTGGATGTTCTTGCTATCCACACCAAATTTTTGTTCCCTGGCCCATTACACCCAGAAGTATAAATTACTTGCCCTTGATGGTAAAGCCTTCTATCAAAATGGCACGTGTAGCAACGGTCAAGCTTAACTTTTTTTTGTTTTTTGAGACAGCCTTGCTTTGTAGCCCAGGCTAGCTTCACACTCAGAAGCCATCCTCCTGCCTCAGCTTGCCAAGTGGTGAGATTACAGCTGTGTACCACCACGCCCAGCTTCAAATTTAACATTTAAACTATCTTTTCTCTCTGGTACCAGGAATAGAGCTCAGGGGTACTGTACCACTTTGCTACACACCAACCCTTTTCATTTTGAGACAAGTTCTCCCTAAACCAATTAGCCTGACCTCATATTTATGATGCTCCAGTCTCAGGCTCACAGGTAACAGAGATTACAGCATGAACCCACCACCATCTTCTAGGCTTTTTAAAATCTTCTAAGATGTTGCTATAAGTAATAGAATGTTGCCTTATTACCAGTTTAAAAAGAAAAACTATCATATAACCAATGATTTATTTGGCTAACTGAAACAAAACTATTAATTATGTGTGCAGAAAATAAGTAAATAAATAAATAAATAGCCAGAGTGTGGTGGCTCACGCCTGTAATCCTACCACTTGGGAGGCTGTCCTTGAACTCACTTTGTAGCTCAGGCTGTCTAGAATTTGCAGCGATCCTCCTCCCTCAGCCTCCTGAGTGCTGGGATTACAGGTGTGTGCCACCATGCCCAACTTTAACTGTATGTTCCTTTTAAACCAACATTAATGTATATCATAATAATTTATAATATAAAGGAAGAGTTCTCAAAAGATACCAAATATGTCTCTTACAATGATTTTTCCCTAGCCTCACACTCATGTTTCTGTCTTCCAATACATGTGCTACAATTTGTCATGTGTTTTCTTTTTTCCTCCTTGACTTTCCTCAGTGGCATTTAATCTCCTAGAAAGCAGGAAACACAATGATCTTACATTTACCATTACCGCCCCAGCATTTGGTATGTGCTCAAATGTTACTCAGAAAGGAACTCAGATGGAGCATTTAATTCAGACTTCGCAGTGGCCCTAAATATTTTGATAACACTGTCAATCCCAATTACAAACTAGATGTGGTGGTGCACCTTTATAATCCCCATACTTTGGAAGCTGAAGCAGAAGAGTCACCATAAGTCCAAGGCCAGCCTGAACTACATACCAAAACCCTGTGTCTAAAAAAAAAAAAAGATAAAAAGAAAAGTGGATCGTGACCCTCATATGCTTTATTTGCTTCTGGCAGACATGTAAGCACAGCTACATACAAATGTTTTGTCTTCTGCTACGCTAGTGACACGCAGGCCCCACGCTGCCAGCACCTCACACCACTCGCTCCTCACTTTATCAGCATCATCAAGAAAGGAAGGAAGCAGAGACAAACAGAGCAGGGCCACCGGCATCAAGTCCCGCAGCAACTCTGCTTCAAGTTTTCATTTTTTCTTTTCTCAGTTGGCCTCTGTAGACAGTTTCCTGGTCTAATATCCACTGACACTTCTTTATATTTGTTTCCCCAGCTCTTCCAAACACTGTTACTACTGTGATGGCATTTTATAACCAAATGGCTAGAACACATCCCACCCCAGTCAAGGGAAGAGAATGAAGAATATATGAATGTACAACCCCACCCACACAAGGATGCCTGTATTTTTTATAGTGAAATCATTTTAGATGAACATGTATGGCTGAGTTGTCAAAAAAGCATAGAATTGTTCTGTAAGTTCAGCCTCATCTAATGTTGCCATCTTCATACTTTGGGTTCTGATGCTTTTTTCTTTCCTTTTTTGTTACTGGGAATTAAACTCAAGACCTCATGCTTGCCAGGCAGGCACTGTGCCACTGAACTATATCCCTGGCCCCTGATACTTTAAAATTTTGTTTTGAGACAAGATCTCACTCTGTAATTCAAGGTGGCCTCAAACACACAGAGATTTTCCTGCCTCATCCTCCAAATTACGGGATTACAGATATTATCTACCATACCTGGTCTCTTTTTAAAATTTTTATTTTATTGTTTGTTTTATTGCAGTGGTGGGGATTGAACCCAAAGATTTCACCCTTAGCTACAACCCTAGCCCTTTTTTATTTTTTTTTTTATTTTGAGACAGGATCTCGTTAATTTTGGGTCCCATTAATTTGGTAAATTGGAAAGTGGGATTCAGGCTTGCAATCCTCCTGCATCAGCCTCCCAGAATATGGGGATTACAAGTGTGTGCCACCACATCCAGCTCTTTTTGACCCTACAAGACAGTTCCTGATACCACTAATGATACTTAATGTGCTCTCGCCTCCCTTCCAGCTCCACAGGCCGCTTTCTACACTCATGCGCACGTAGCAGGAGAAGTTTCATCAGAACACTTCCTTTCCCGACTTCTGGCCTAGGTCAGCCTAGGAAAGTGGCAGGAGCTCAGAGAGTAGGGAATTGGTCACAACTTCACACCTCCCTGCAGGAGCCTGTACCCCTGGCCACAGTTCAGCGCTACTCACCCTGTGCAGCTACAAGATCGGATCCACAATACCGTGACCATTTCCTTTTTATTAAACAAATTCATCACAGGACCAGGGATGTAGCTCAATGGCACACCACCTGCTTGGCAAATGCATGGCTGTGTGTTCAATTCCTGATTTTTAAAAAAGCCAGTGAATTCATTCAGGAGAAGACACGTCGCCCTGAGTGCCTGAGTGCCCCTGGGATTACTGCTTCTCACTCAGAACACACTTGTCCCATCACTCTTGCCTCCTTCAGAAGCAGTTCTGGAAGTCCTCTTTCCTGTCTTTCATTTTAAGGTGTCCTGAATCAACTTGAAACACTTACTCTCCCACAGTCATTTTGACTTTGGGGAAGAGTCGAGGGTTGCATGGTGACAGACTAGGTGCAGAAGGTGGATGAGGACACAGTAGAACGTTCTTACAGCCTGCTTTTGGCTGGGTGGCACATAGCAACGACATCTGCTGTATTTTCATCAGACCCAGTAAAGACAGAAGACTTCCAGAGCTGCTTCAGAGTCAGGACAAGGATGGGACGAGTGTGTCTGAAGCAAGGGGCAGTATGTCAGGGGCACTAATAGCAATTGTTGTTGTTCCAAAGTAATTGTTTACCTGGAGACATTCACCATACAGTGTGGTCACCCGGACCTTCAGTCCTAGGACAGTCCTAAGTGGCTCTCTGCCTTCCTTAGCACTGCGCTTCTTTGCTATTGCTAGTTTTTTTTCTTAACCCCTTTATGAAATTCTGGTCAAACACTCAACTGACAATGCTAACTGATTTTCTACGGGAACCAAGAGTTACAATCTGAGCCAACGAACAATGCTTTAAAATTGGCTTTCACTAAGGAAATATATCCTCTGACTTGCCCCTCAACTGTGCCTGTGCATAATGTGGGACAACATTTACATCACTGTTTCTTCCTAGAGAAAATGTGAACCAGGTCCCTTGCTCAGAAGCCTAAAGTCACACCCCTCTGAGTACCAATCCACCTCAGTCAACAATCGAGGAAGCTCTCGCATGTCCACCTAGGTGGGACAGTAACCATGATCACAAAGGGACTTGTATGGAAAACTGTGCTGAACTGCCCCATGCTACTAGCCACTCACCACCCACCATAGGTGCCCATTCTGGCCACTGAGGTGCTTCAGGAACTGCCACAGGGAAGACTTAGTAAACGATTTGAGATCACCACTTATATCTTGAAATTCTGAAGGAATAGAGCGAATACAAGCTCAGAAGGTAACAGTCTTCTTTTAGAGGGAAGATGTGAGATAAAGTAGTTTCAGTCCTACACCTGGTTACAGCAGTCCAGGCTCAGAGTAAAATGGAAGAAGCCTCCAGTTCCACACTAATCCCCCATCATGCTGTGCACAGATCTGTTTCCTAATCATTGACAAGGGTGAAAAATTGCAGCATCTACCCTAGCACAAGCCCCAAAAGACTGAAGATCCAAGAGTCCAGCATTAAAGGAAGGGGGATTAGGTCTCTGCCACAAGGATCAATGCAGAGACAAAGAATAACGCAAGAAAACCGAGCCGTGACCTGCAAAGCCTACTGTGGAGTAGCTCCCGTGGGTGGCACCCAACTAAGACCTCACCTGTAAGCTGGAAGCCAATTCTCTTCCCGGCCTCCCTAAATGCACTTAGCACTTCCTAGTCTAGGGTTCTATAATATTCTACGTCTGTTCCAGGTGAACTTTACAAGCTCAAGTTAAAATCTGAAACCTTTTAAACATTTCCACCATGTAGGAGAGAAATAAAGTTTTATTTGGAAGATGGAAAACATTAACACAATTTTTTTTCAACTTAAATGTTAACATTTAACAATTATCTTTTCCTTTGGGGGTATTTTCCTAGTCTTGCAGGACAATCACTAAGGACAAATGGAAAGTCAGCCCCAATTAAATTTGCAGGGCAGAGGGAATCCGGCCACCTACAAGTGCTTACTTAAAAGAAACAGCCAAAGTCTGCTGTAGTGGTTCCCAAAATCAACACATGGTATATTTACTTGTGAAATCTATTTCAGGTGACAGGACACACACAGACTAACAAAATAAACAGAAAAATAAACAGCATCCTCCAAGCCTCTTTCTTAGCAAAGGTGAGAGATGTAACACCAAGCTTAACATCTTTCCATCTCTGTATGTGGTCTGTTTCTCTCTGCTACATCCTGCCTCCAAACTGAAGAGCCATTTACAGCAGTGGCGCTAAAACTATTTCTCACTTAAAGAATGTCAGGTCTGAGGTGGATACACCCAATACAGAAAGTATAGAAAAAGAGACAAATCAGACTTTTAAGGAAGTACTTCTAGGTTTGGGGGTAGGGGAAGGATGTAAAAGGAGTAGACAGATCACTATGAAGAAGAAAAATGGTTTAATGTGTCTTGAAAATCACTAATACTTATTTGTTTAGGTCCCATGAGAATTTGTGTCAAGCATTTTCATTCATTTCACAGTGCCCAGCACACCACGCACTGTGTGAAAAATGCTAAATAAACACTCATGGGTTGGTGGAAACTCTACATGGCAATTCTGTGTACAGGCAGGAAAGAAGCTCACAGTGGTCACCCAAACCAGAAGGCAGTGCAAGGTCTGGTTCTCAGTATCAACATGTTCAAGTTACACAATTTGGGGAACAAATGAGATAAATTCTGCCACATTCACAGCAATAGTTCAACATGCTGCTCCTCTTTGAGGGCTGAAAGGTGTTTTTTTTTTTTTTTTTTTTTTTTTTTTTTGCAAAATATTAGCTGTAATTAGGTACAAACATCCTAAGTGAAATGCACACAACATAACTATACAAGCCAGTTGTGTGATTGCTTGCTAGTGATTGCTCTCTACTTCAAGATTGCTCAGGTTGCTTACATTTATAACAGCAACATGCCACCTGAAACCCGGAGCACAGAAGCACCTATTTGCCAGACTAAAGCTAGCACTGAACTTTTAGTGATGCCATAGGGTTTTAAATGAACCCTTTTAAATACTGTACAAAGCTCATAACAGACTGCTATAGCTAACTAGCTTATAGCCAAATTAGGTTATTGCTACATGCTCATCATAGGCAATTGACTCAAAAAGAAGAAAACATGCTTAGTCCTACAGCTCTATGTCAAAATTAAAGGTGACAGTAACAATTTGGGATTGAGCACTTATAATTTGGCTGTAAGATCTCAAAGACTTATACATCTTAAACTGAACTAAAATCTCTAAGGACCTCATTTTCTTTGGGGAGGGGGAATCACACATTTCAAAATAGTACTGAATGGAGGGTCTATTAAAATCACAATGGAGCATAGCTGTCAACTTGGTATGGTACCTTTCTCCTAAAACACACTGGTGCAACGCCACAAATGCAGATGTTACAAAGGGAGCTGGAAGGAAAACATAATTCTATGCACAACAGTTTGCATATAAACTTTTCCTTCTTCAGACTTCTGTGGAGTTGTAAATAAAGAATGCTAATATGCAGCACATTAAAATAAGAGAGATACACTTTATTTGAGTGAAAATTATTTACTCAAAATCTGGGAACATTCACATCCACTCTAGTCCAAATGTAACCTCAAGTGACAGAAAAATACTATATGGAAATGGAAAAAAAAATAAATAGTATTTAATCAACAGCTGATTACCTTTAAAACTTTGGGCTTCTTTTCCCTCTGGGGCCTCTTGTTTTCTTTTATAACCTAAAAAAAAAAAAAAAAAAAATCAAAACGGAAAATGAGCCTCCATTTAAAAAAAGAAAAAAGCTCCCATTCCTACCACCCCCCCCAAAAAAATTTTTTTTGGTTATTTCTCTGTAAAACTACTTATGCCATCTTAAATCATCAACATGTTTCTAGGCAGAACCTAACAGCTTCTGTAAAATGTATACTTTAAAAGTCAGTGAAAAAACAACAACCTTGCATCAAGATGAAGTAGGGAAATACCCTGCTTTCCCTTAAAGTCTGTCTTAATTAGCCTCTGCATTCTTCACGGCGAAGCCCACAAGGTAGCCATCTTGCTTCTGCAGAGGAAGCCTCGGTAGTGGAACAGTTCTGCAAACTGCTCTTGGTGTTATTATCATGGTGTTTGAAGGCAGCCCTGGCCTGCCAGCACTGTAGACGTGCTGGGCATGCCTTTTGCAAAAACAGCCCCACACGGTGCAGCCAATGGCAATGCAGAGCTTAGCAACTCCAAAGTGATCTTCTCAGCCTAGCCCTTCCTAGACAAAGGATCTCCTGTGCGGCTGGCTCTCGCCACAGGACACAGGCAGCCCCAAGCTGTGACATGGAGTTCTCCGCAGAGGATCTGGTCGCGGCGAAATCATAGGAGGCTTCAGCCAAAACAATGCTCGCCAATCCCCCAGGTGGCCGGCAGGATCGATGGCGGAGTCTCCCTGATTAGTCACCTCTGGGTGGCAGCCAGGGCAGGTCCGCCTGGGGGAGGGGACACGGCTCTGCCTGCACTGCACAGGAGCTGTCGCGGAGCCCAGGGGGGCCTTGGGGCTCGCTGAAACTCTGGAAGGTATTGTGCATTTTTACTTTATAAGGCAAGGCGAAATATTGGCGATATTTAAGGCAGGGAGGTTATGTGAGGACAGTAAGGCTCAGCTGTTGGGCTTCGTGTCTCATTCCTCCGAACCACACCTCTCTGCAGCAGGCGCTCTGCCCAGAAACACAGCGATTTGATTTCTGTCAATAAATGTCCAATGACAAAGGCGGATTAGAAAATAACAATAAAGCCACTTAGGAAAGGACAGGCTGAGGACAAGGAGAAGGGGTGGAGTTTTCAAAATACACTTGCCACCAAGTGGTGCGAGACAAGGGATTTCTGTCTTGCTAGGAACATTTCCTGTGACTTTCATTTCCTGGAGAAATACCTGCCTGGCCAGAGGCAGAATCCACCTCCCTCTCCCAAAACCATCACCCAAGCAACTCTGCCCCCCAGAGCCACCAAAATAGGTCCCCACATGCAGCTGTCTACACTCCAGCCTGGCAGGCATGGAGAGTCACCCTCTCTCACTGGAAGGACCCCGTTCGCAGGTGGCAGGCACAGTGGCTGACACCTGCCACCCCCTGGGAAAGACAGAACAGAGGAATCTCCCTTCCTGTAGCCCCTGGCATTGCAAAAGCAGCACCGACAAGGACCAGCGCTGCTGCTAGGTTTCAAGGTCACTGCCCAACACCAGTGACCGACAGAGGCTGGTCGTGGTCCCATCCCCACCACCCTGACCGCTGCGGAGAGCCCAGCTCCACCTCGAGGGCCCAGGTTTCAGCAGCACATTTGGAGGCTGGCAGCAGGGCTTGCTTGGCTGCTCAGCCAGAGATGGGTTTTCCACTTGCAGTTGGATCCTGAACAGATTCCCACAGGCAGAAACCGGGAACAGAGTGAGGGCTGGATGGCCTGGGCTTGGCACCCTCACCTCCGGCCTTGGGTTTGCCAGAGAGGGAGCTTTCCTGGAGGGTTCACGAAGCCAGTGGGCCTGGTTTCCTGCTGTGGTTTTCAGGTTCCTTCTTGGTGCTGAGGACGGAAACCCAGGGCCTTATGCATGCTAAAGCAGGGGGCTTTACTACTGCCTGCCCAATCCAGTCCAGTCCTCACCTACTTCTCTCTCATCCACCCACAGCCAAAATTTCACTTTTTTCTTTTTGGTTTCTTGAGACAGGTCTTGCTGTGTAGCCTCAAATTTCCACCAGTTCTCCTGCCTCAGCCTTCAGAGTGCTAGGCAAAAGTTTTAATAAATTCATGTGAAAAAAAAAACCCAACTCGGTAGTGTTCTCAACTCTTCGGAAAACCAACAGAATCTGACCTAAATATATCCACCAGTGCACACTAAACCTATGCTAACAGGTTCCCTTGCAGACCAAGACCGCAGAGAAGGAGGTGAGATACCAGGACCACTGTGGCCAGGTGCTAGCTGTCTACAATCAGTGGGGTGATGAGGTTCTGCAAATGTGCACTAATTAAAAAAATCAAAAGTGAGCCAGGCGTGGTGGTGCACTCCTGTAATCCCAGCACTCAGGAGGGTGAGGCAGGAGGATCATCACAATCTGAGACCAGCCTCGGTTACAAAGTCAGCTCAAGGCCTGCCTGAACTGCATGGTGAGACTCTGTCTCAAAAAGCAAAAAAACAAAAAAGTGACACCAAAAAGAGAAGAATGAGGCCGAATACCATAAGGTTTGATTATACTGTATACAAAATGAGTATACTGTGTGTGTGTGTGTGTGTGTGTGTGTGTGTGTGTGAGATTTGCCTTCCTCAGCCCCTGCTGAGTTTTCTTCTTCTGTCTATATCTCCTATCTGTGTCTCCTGCCTCAGCCTCCCAGAGTGCTGGGATTACAGACATGTGCCATGCTACATTATTTTGTTTGTGTGGTCATGGAGCCAAAATCCAAGGCCTCTGCAGTAGGCTATATCCTCAGACCTGCTTCAATTTTTATTTTCAGACAGGGTCTCTCTAAGTCACTGAGTCACCCAGACTGGGCTTGAATTTGCAATCCCCTGCCTCAGTCTCCCAAAGGGCTGGGATAACAAAAGCATGTGTCACCACACCCAGATGCTGCTAGTGCTGCTGCTCCTCCTGCCTCTCCCCTAGCAATCCTGGGAACTGAACCCAGGGCCAGAGTGCTGGGACCACAGGCATACAACACCAAGCACAGTTAACAGCTAACTTTGAGTTCTGTACAAACTTCGATCTCAGCAGCTGCACCATTTAAATTCTCACCAGTCTGTCTCTCTCTCTCACATACACACACACACAAGCCAACATTTCTCAGAGCACCTTGCATTTCTATTACAGATTATGCCACACTAAAATGAGTATAATTTTATTATTTATTCATTACTTTGTGTGTATGCATGCGTGTGTATGTGTCGTCTTGGAAGTTGAACTTCACACTGAGCTACATCCCAGCCCTTTAAAATTTTTATTTTGGGGCTGGGGATTTAGCTCAGCGGCATAAGTGCTTGCCTTGCAAGCAGGCAGTCATGAGTTTGATCCCCGGTACCGAAAAAAAGACAAAAAAAAAAAATCTTACAAAAATTTTTATTTTGGATATAGTCTTGCTGTTTTGTACAGGCTAGCCTCAAACTTGCAATTCTCTCACCTAAGCCTCCTGAGTAGCTAGGATTACAGGCTTGTGCCACCACACCTGAACAGGAATACAATTTTTTTTTTTTTGTCTTTTTCATTTTTATCGGTACCAAGGATCAAACTCAGAACCGCCTGCTTGCAAGGCAGGTGCTTATGCCACTGAGCTAAATCCCCGGCCCCTAGGAATACAATTTTTAAAAAGCATCAATACTTTTATCCTGTTGTAAACATTTTTTTTTTTTTTGAGACAAGGTCTCACTATGTAGTTCAGGCTGGCCATGAACTCACAGCAGTCCTCGGTCCTCGCTGGGCTGGAATCACAGGCGTGAACTACCACACCCAGTTCATTGTTTAATGTTTAGTAAAGTGCTCACAATGTAATTACATGTCAAATCAATGCGGGACACTGAGTGTATACACTGGCCAGATGTCAAGTGTCCTGGCCCCGAAGGCAGCAATGTTACTCCCAGAGACATTTGGGAAGCCACCCAGTGAGACACCCAGCAACCTAAGAGTACTGAAGGTCTCTGTGTCCTGCTCTATAAAATAAGAAATCCAATGTTCATCCTATTGATACAGGGATGATATAGGACCTCTAAATAAGGGAAATGTAACTCCTAGCTTGCTAAGATGTCTGATATGTGAGTTTGTGTTTGCTAAAATAGAAAAATGAATTCTAGGAACAAGCAGTTAAGAGTAGAAAGTATTTATTGAGAGAAAGAAAAACTTCTGTCTAAGAGATAGAAGGTCTTGAGTAGGTTGCTGGGAACCCTGCTTCTCAAGGGAGTTTAGAGAGCAAAACCACAGTGAGGAGAGTCTAAGGTGGGATAGACCCACAATCAAGATTATAAGTGCAAGGGGCTGGGGATTTAGCTCAGCGGCCTAAGCGCCTGCCTTGCAAGCAGGCAGTCATGAGTTCGATCCCTGGTACCGATAAAAACAAAAAAGACAAAAAAAAAAAAAAAGATTATAAGTGCAGATAACATTGATCAATGGAAAACCACAAAATAAGTGTGAGGTTAGACAAAACTATGGTCAATCAATAAGATTACAAGTATAGTCCCTTGGGTAATACTGATTAAATGGGGGTCCAGTGGGGAAGCAAGTCATATAGCATGAGCACAAGGGATGGACAAGGACTTCCTTGATGCGTTGGGTTAAAGAGATGTGGGTCCAACACACGCCCAAGGTGATTGATGTCTGTCTATTCAGAGTATCAGTCACACTGCTCATCCCTAGAGCATCCTAGAGGAAGTACAGGGGTGAGCAGTTCCTCTTTCTCTTAAACCTGGCCTCCAGTCAGTGTGCCTCCAGCTACAGTTGTCTTCTGCACTGACCTCCTGAGAGGCCCACCCTGCTTGACTGCCTACAGATATTTCTGAATAACTTAGCTGCCTATAATGCTAGCAAGGTTAGTGACAGTGATTGGATCTAACCTTGACTCTGAATAGCAAACCCAGGGATTCACAAGAGCTGGGCCTGCAGGAACACTGAATGGCTTTTCACCGATTGCCCTGGCCACCTTTTTCCATCCCTGCACTCAGGGATTTGATGATCTCAGTCCTGACTTAGGTGATAGCAAGTTTCATGCACAATAAGCAGAAATGACTAAAGAGGCCCAATGTGGAGGTGCAGGCCTGTAATTCCAGCACTGAGGGGCCGAGGCCAGCATAGTGACTACATAAGTGAGACCCTGGCTCAAAACATAAAAAACAAAGGAGAGCGGAGGTTGGGGGTGTGACTTAGTGGTATGGCACTTTATCAGCATGCTAGATCCCTAGCACTAAGACAAATAAATAAAATAAAAAGAATATCAAACTTTCATTTCCAGCAGTCATGGAATTGGTCATTTCAAATAATCCTCCTGCTAGAGAAAAGCAGAAAAATGGGAAAAAAACAAAAAATGCTCGGTGCAGGGCAGTTTGGGCAGGAGGATTGAAAATTTGGTGCAAGACTAGGGAATTTAGAAGATCCTGTCTCAAAATTAAAAACAAAAACAAAAAAAGATTCAGATGCAGACACCTGCAATCACAGCACTCAGGAGGCTGAGGCAGAAGGATAAACACAGATAAGGTCAGCGTGGTCTACACAGTAATATCAAGGCCAATCTGGCATACATTGTGAGTGAAACCTTGTCTCAAAGAGGGAAAGGGTGAGTGAGGGGTAGAGAGAAGCAGGAATACAGCAGTAAAGAACTTGTCTAGTTAAGTGTGAGCCTCTGCTCTGGGTTCAACTCTGGTCTAGACAGTGGGGCTAGAAAAATATAAAATTACCTGTTTCTCCAGGCCTGGGGGCACACACCTATAATCTTTGTTACCTTGGAAGGCTGAGGCAGGAGAAATCACAAATTCAAGACCAGGCTGGGTGATTTACAAATATTGTCAGATTCTGTCTCAAGTTGAAAGGAAAAAAAAGAAAAAAAAAAAAAAA